TTCATTTGTAAACCGAAAATTATGTTAACCGAGGCGTTTGTAAACCGAGGTCCCACTGTATATTAAAATACACGTGATCAAATATTTTATTTATCTTTTTTTCAAATACCAAGAAAATTTTATTTGGTTTGTGATGATTAAAGGTACATATACCTTGTGGTAAACAATCCATCTATTGATTGTTTAACCAATACATCATACATATGATTATTAATTCATATTCTGATTGTAACATACCCCCACTTCAACCAGTTATAGTTACAATAGTTTGTGATATCTATAAAAAAAAGTGTTAAAACCACATATACAAATAAAGAGTTAATGCAGGGGACGAGGGGCCCGAGGACTTTTCAGGGGGGGGGGGAGTCTGCCGGGCTGCTGGCGTCCCTGAGTGCCCACAGCCAGTGGTGTATCCTGGTTTTGTGCTGCCCTAGGCAGGACAAAACTCAGGCACCCCCCCCGCGCCACCCCCACCCGCGCAACCGCCACCCAACCTTCCCCCCTGCTCCGCCTTCTAAATACACACACACACACATTCACTGACAGATACGCATTCACTAGCTAACAGAAACACACAGTCACTAACAGACACACACTCACACACCCACACACTCACTAACAGACACACACACACTCACAGGCAAACACACACACCACAGACATCCACTAACAGACACACACACACTAACACTAACATACATACACTAACATTAACATACACACCCACAGACACACACTCACACACCTCACTAACAGACACACACACTCTCACAGGCAAACACACACACTACAATAGACATCCACACACTAACAGACACACACACACACTAACACTAACATACATACACCAACATTAACATACACACTAACACTAACAGACACACACACTAACACTAACATACATACACTAACACACATACACACTAACACTAACAGACACACACTCACACACTCACTAACAGACACACACACTCACAGGCAAACACACTCACTAACACACACTCACTCACTAACAGACACACACACCAACAGACACACACACACTCATTAACAGACACACACACACACACACACACACACACACACACACACACACACACACACACACACACACACACACACACACTAACAGACACACACCCACTCACTCACTCACAGACACACACACATTCACTAACAGACACACTCACTAACAGACACACACACACTCACTAACACGCACACACTAACACACACTCACTTTTTTTTTTTTATTTAACCCCCCAGCCTCCTTACCTTTGGGAATGCTGGGGGGTTCTTCCTCCCTGTCTAGAAAGCTGTATGGAGCCGCCGGGTAGGGGCTGAGCGCTTACTATTGGCAGGGCCAGCTAGCAGGCGAGGCTGGGAGCCGGAATATGACGCCATCAATCTGCTCCCCGCCTCACTCTGCTGGCGGGCGCTACAGGGAGCTGAGAGCAGAGCCAGGGGAAGAGCTCGCCGTCACCAGCTACAGCCACTGCCGCCCAGCGCCCAGAATGTCTGTTAGCTGCGAGGCTAACAAGACATTTGCCTTGGGCATTTGGGGGGCGGCGTTTTTTGCCGCCCCCTGAAAAATGCCGCCCAAGGCAAATGCCTTGTTTGCCTCGCGGCTAATACGCCCCTGCCCACAGCATTGTGGAACCCTTGTATGACCGGCCGGAGCAGGCCTGGAGGGGAACAGAGGGGATTAGTCACGCCAGGGGAGCTGGGGGGACCCTGCAATAAGCGACCAGCTTGGCAATTATATGCACTCCAGGCATAAGCCTGCGAGAGGACACAGCAGAGGAAAGCCTGCACAGATACCTCACAAGAGGCCACTGACCTCACGCTGGACATTCTTTACCACCGGGCACCACAACCCCACCTCCAGTGGAGAGACTCCCCTAATATGGTTGCATAGACCCAGCTTAGGTTACTGAAGTGTTTTTTTTTTTTATTATTATGTATTTAATTTTTATTTTATTTTTACTTTTTATGTTTCTACATTAATTTCATGGCATACCTATTCTGGAATTAACCAGAAGAAGCTATAAGGACCATGGATAAGCTTTATCTTTGCTTCAAGATACCTGATTAATATAACACTTCTGCCAAATACGTTAACCCTACCATACGCTTAAACAGCGGTTTAAGCTTCTATACAGCATTTATAGTTGAATTGTTATTTTTTAAAGTAATCCTTTACACTCATTACTAACCTAGCCACTGTACACGCCTGATAGCGGCATTAAACGTTAAATACTTACATTAGTGTACCTTGGCCTAAAACTGAATATGCTCTATAAGGTACACTACAGGCATAGGCTATTTTGCAGGGGAAATTGATTACACATGATTAAGGATTGCGGTTAACGCCCCAGTTTGCTACACGTTTTACACAAATCAGTCCCCATGCTAAGAGGATGGTCCAGGAGAACATAGATACACATATATATTCTCCAAGCATAGGTATACAGCGGATATAATGCTACTTAGCAACTGCATATACAGAAGTAATGCGTTATCTATGATGATAAATTGAGTGACGGTTTGGTAATTGAACTAGATTCAGTTATGCTCATATTATTTGATGTTTATGAGTCAGCACAGGTTATTATGCACCCTACGGGGTCAGTCATCTAAAGTCTGCATTTATAGGGTTAATAATTGCCTCACTACGCAATCCGCAACGTACGTAATCAGCACTGCATTAGAATGCTCATGAAGTGTTAATGACTGATGTTATACTGTAAAGCTACAACAGGCCTCTGCGTAGGCCCATGTACCCTAATTCATATATTTCAAAATGAGCCTCTGCGCAGGCAACGCTACATTTAATTTTCTCCTTGTTATGAACCTGCTATCATACTACAAACAAAATAAAAAACATTCAAAATAAATGAAGAGTTAAAATATAATACCTTCAATATTGTATCTGAGTGCTTTCTTAACTCACTTGTAAGAATAAAAAAAATCATATCACCTTTAGCTCCACCCAACAGCCGCTGGAAAATATACTTAAACAAATAAGATTCATATTGTTAAGCATCCAATCTCACAAACGTGACTTTCCACAATGGCTGTCAGATCTTGGTAAAAATGTTTTTAAGACAATTATTGGGTGTTTCTGGTATTTTAAGCCACTAATAACTGTAGTTATTATATTTACTAATTATAACTTAAGGAATACGTTGTATTTTACCTAACAGGACAAAGAAAGATGAATAATGTCATGTTTCCAATTATCAACTATTCTAAATAGATTGAGAGATTTTGAATAAAAGGAGTATTTTTTTTACATTTAAAGTGAATGTAATTATACATACCATTGTGAACAAAGGTGGTAAATACTTAAATACTTTGCTGCTTCAAATTATCCTTATACAGGGAGTGCAGAATTATTAGGCAAGTTGTATTTTTGAGGATTAATTTTATTATTGAACAACAACCATGTTCTCAATGAACCCAAAAAACTCATTAATATCAAAGCTGAATATTTTTGGAAGTAGTTTTAGTTTGTTTTTAGTTATAGCTATGTTAGGGGGATATCTGTGTGTGCAGGTGACTATTACTGTGCATAATTATTAGGCAACTTAACAAAAAACAAATATATACCCATTTCAATTATTTATTATTACCAGTGAAACCAATATAACATCTCAGCATTCACAAATATACATTTCTGACATTCAAAAACAAAACAAAACAAATCAGTGACCAATATAGCCACCTTTCTTTGCAAGGACACTCAAAAGCCTGCCATCCATGGATTCTGTCAGTGTTTTGATCTGTTCACCATCAACATTGCGTGCAGCAGCAACCACAGCCTCCCAGACACTGTTCAGAGAGGTGTACTGTTTTCCCTCCTTGTAAATCTCACATTTTGATGATGGACCACAGGTTCTCAATGGGGTTCAGATCAGGTGAACAAGGAGGCCATGTCATTAGATTTCCTTCTTTTATACCCTTTCTTGCCAGCCGCGCTGTGGAGTACTTGGACGCGTGTGATGGAGCATTGTCCTGCATGAAAATCATGTTTTTCTTGAAGGATGCAGACTTCTTCCTGTACCACTGCTTGAAGAAGGTGTCTTCAGGAACTGGCAGTAGGACTGGGAGTTGAGCTTGACTCCATCCTCAACCCGAAAAGGCCCCACAAGCTCATCTTTGATGATACCAGCCCAAACCAGTACTCCACCTCCACCTTGCTGGCGTCTGAGTGGGACTGGAGCTCTCTGCCCTTTACCAATCCAGCCACGGGCCCATCCATCTGGCCCATCAAGACTCACTCTCATTTCATCAGTCCATAAAACCTTAGAAAAATCAGTCTTGAGATATTTCTTGGCCCAGTCTTGGCGTTTCAGCTTGTGTGTCTTGTTCAGTGGTGGTCGTCTTTCAGCCTTTCTTACCTTGGCCATGTCTCTGAGTATTGCACACCTTGTGCTTTTGGGCACTCAGTGATGTTGCAGCTCTGAAATATGGCCAAACTGGTGGCAAGTGGCATCGTGGCAGCTGCACGCTTGACTTTTCTCAGTTCATGGGCAGTTATTTTGCGCCTTGGTTTTTCCACACGCTTCTTGCGACCCTGTTGGCTATTTTGAATGAAACGCTTGATTGTTCGATGATCACGCTTCAGAAGCTTTGCAATTTTAAGAGTGCTGCATCCCTCTGCAAGATATCTCACTATTTTGACTTTTCTGAGCCTGTCAAGTCCTTCTTTTGACCCATTTTGCCAAAGGAAAGGAAGTGGCCTAATAATTATGCACACCTGATATAGGGTGTTGTGTCATTAGACCACACCCCTTCTCATTACAGAGATGCACATCACCTAATATGCTTAATTGGTAGTAGGCTTTCGAGCCTATACAGCTTGGAGTAAGACAACATGCATAAAGAGGATGATGTGGTCAAAATACTAATTTGCCTAATAATTCTGCACTCCCTGTATATCTAAATCATTTACAAGGGTATTTGTCTTCAACCCCTTCAGGACGGAGTCAATAGTACACGTTCTGATCAAAACAAAACGTAAACAAAAACTGGAATTTGCGCTATATGTCTGTTCAACCGTAATTCACCGCTGTCACATTAAGTGCACCCACACTTATTATATATCATTTTGTTCAGGAGAAACAGGGCTTTAATTTATCATTAACTATTCATATATGGAACATAATTTATTATGAATAAAATTTAAAAAAATGTGACAAAATAAGATTTTTATTTTTTTTAATTTGTATTTCCGTCTGACATTTTAGCTGTTAATGTCATAATACTGTTTTACTGCAAAAAAATGCACATATTTGTAATCAGCGATGTCTCACGAGTACAACAGTACCCCCCATTAACAGGTTTTATGGTGTTTTGGAAAGTCACAGGGTCAAATATAGAACGTTCCATTTCAAATTTAAATTTGCCAGATTAGTAATTAGTGATGTCCCGAACGGTTCGCCGAGAACAGTTCGCCGCAGACTCATCATTGAGTAAACTTTGACCCTGTACCTCACAGTCAGCAGACACATTCCAGCCAATCAGCAGCAGACCCTCCCTCCCAGATCCTCCCACTTCCTGGACAGCTCACTAAAAATGCAGCTTCACAATGAATGTAAAATGGTTGCTGTCCAGGAGGTGGGAGAGTCTGCTGCTGATTGGCTGGAATGTGTCTGCTGACTGTGAGGTACAGGGTCAAAGTTTACTCAATGATGAGTCCGTGGCGAACCTTCGGGACATCACTATTAGTAATGTTACCTTTGAGACGGTGTGGTAGCCCAGGAATGAGAATTACCCCCATAATGGCATACCATTTGAAAAAGTAGACAACCCAAGGTATTGAAAGTGGGGTATGTTTAGTCTTTTTTAGTAGCCACTTAGTCACAAACTTAAAATATCATCGTTGTAATACAATTTATCATTTTCAAACACTAATATTTGAGTTCAGCGAAGTCTCCCTAGTAAAACAGTACCCCCTATGTACAGGTTTTATGGTGTCTTGGATAGTTAAAGGATCAAATATAGTGCTTGTGAATTAAATTCTCTGCACTTTCTCCCTGTGTTGTCAGGCATGTCAATCACATTTTAATTAATCAAATCACATAATTATGTTAAAAGATTACTTAAATATACACGTAGAATTTTAATATATATGCATTTATAGGTATTTAAATTCTACGTGTATACTAATGTAATCTTTTATGTAATTATATGAATTATTTATATAGATATGTATAGAATGTCATTCTAAGTGTATTGTTACCAATATATATATATATATATTAATAACAAAATACAGTTAGAATGAAATTACATATGAATATATAATTTATATTAAATTTTGTTTCAATATTTTATTTATTATTGTAATTATACGTGTGAGTGTGTGTGTATATATATATATATATATGTTTATATATCTATTATATATATAATATATATATATATACATATTATATATGTAACATCATTCTAAATATATTTTAATACTAATATATGTACTTATATTAATATTAAAATACACTTTGTATGAAGTTACACATATATAATATGTATGTATATATATATATATATATAATAGATATACATATATTATATATATATATATATATAAATACATTTATTTTATTTTAAACATGTTTAATTTTTTTTTTTTTTACTTTCCCACCAGCAGGGGGGCTGTCTGACATTTTAGACAGTCCCCCTGCTGGCAGATCCACAGCCAGTTAATAGGGGGTTATATTTGCCGGAATAGGATCGCGGCCGAGGTAAGTCCACCGGACCTCCAGGGGCTGCAAGCCGTTACGGCGTTCTATGCCGCCGCAACGGATTTTAAGCCCTTTTAATGCGGGACGGCATAGAACGCCATTACGGCGTTAAGGGGTTAAAACCACTAGAAAGATGTTACTACTTCATCTATCCTTATTATACAAAGTATAACAAATGTAAAGATTTTTCTACAGTATTTACCAGTTTACATTTTTAGCACAACAGCACCTGATGTCATTATATGTCTATCAATGAGATGTAGAGGTGTTACCAAGATTCCAAAACCAGCAAAAAGAGGCATTCTTGAGATCCCATTACGATTGCTGTATCAACATAACATTTAGTATAATGGGATCCATGTCACTTAAGACAATGTCTTGGAAATGCAATCAATTAGTTTATTCCATAAAATAATATCTGAGAGTATCCAATCTATATACATCATACATTTACGGTGTAAAAATGTTTCATGGAAAAAAACAAAACAAAAAAAGCAGAGATAAAGACAAATACCAACACCATCACCACGGTGATAAAAGATGATGCTGATAGAATATCTGCTATCAATTCTAGCCAAATACTTGGATAGCTGGACTCTACAACCAATACTCTACAACAAATATCCGGGTATTCTACAAACACAATCTCCAGCCTATCTATGGAATGTAAACTTCTACAGGCCTCTAAAGACTTTGGATTACAATTACTATCAGAATCCATCCAAGAATATCTTACTCTGGAACTTAATGTTCTTTTTAATTCTTTCCCAGACAAAAGCTTTGCTCATTTTTAACTAACCATCTTTTACATACAAAGATCACACAAATTATGTTTTACCGTTACTACAATGATCAAAGACGCTGGGAACATGAAACCTAAAGACTGTTGGAGAACTTTGGTTTACTAATTTAAAGAAGAAATGCTCTACAATGCCCACAGTTTAATGGAGAGGGTGTTATGGGCAAATGCAAATATTACAAGTTTTAGAGATATTGCAAACTGACAAGGTGTCTGAAATGTGACATATTGTTTTTCATGCATGTTTCTTTAAGCAATAATCTCTAACCTACTTTCAGTGCATAATATGTTTACGACAATTTGTCTTAGCTTAATACAAAACAAGTAATGCAATAACATCTTCAAGGCTGTGCTACGTCATCAGACTTTAGGAAGCCATCTTGTCCCAAGTCAGGGAATTTCCCATGACTTGTGCTCTTATGTTTTAGTTATGGCCTTGTATCTTTGCCCAGTTTAGGGAGGTCCTAAAATGAACTGCTACCTTTTAAATGTTAAGGGACAGAGGAGAGATTTGGAGACAAAGACACTGTCGCTCCATATTATAATGACTGAGAGATGTTGACGTTCAAAAGGGTATGTTATTCTATTTTTTTTATATTGCAAGCATACCTGTACGGAGCTTTAATCAGGACAGATACATTAGCCAAACAAAGCCTTATATAGGACAATAAATTAGAGTACTCACCAGATCAGCTGCTTCTGATCGTGCTGATGGATCAGCAGATGTCAGAAGCTCGTGCGCATGTGGAGCCAAAAGGTCAGAGGGCAGATTCAGAGCCAACCAAAGTGCTTTGGTTTCGTTACGTAACCATAGACACCAATGGCGCCATTCGGCCATTGGCTATTGCTCTGTGTACAGAAGCCGTTGGGAGAATACCTCCTCAGGACTAAGAAAGGAACCACCCACCTTATAACGTAGGCTCTGGTGTGTCTCCATAGCACCTGGGACGCGCCCATCAGTCTGCAACTTGCCAGGATAACAGTAGAGCAACAAAATAAATACAAAGATATTAAATATCTGAAAGTGTAAAGGTTGCTAAACACTACATATAAACCCCCATACATAATCATGTAATAATAAAGTGAACCAAGAAGTTATATATAAATGTCAGGTACAAGTGCTCAATAAAGCGATAGATGCTATTGATTTAAAATACTGATTTAGAATGACATCATCTAACATAGTGATGTTGCTGCATAAAGTGAACTCATATATAAAGTGACTAGTGCTGTGTAAAGTGCCATTCATAAGAAAAGTGTATTTAGTGCTGTTCAAAGTGCATAATTAGTAAAAAATAAATAAAAAAGGTGTATGAAGCTTATTTAAAGTGCCAAAGTGTAATTAAGTGGTCCAGAGCCCCAGGACACATTTAAATAAAGTGCATCAAAAGTATGGATTCAGGAGGAACAAACAAGTAAAAAATGTAAGGCTATTTAAAATGCATACAAATATGAATATATAAAATCACATATCCTAAATAGGAGCAAGTTATGGTAGTCTAATGACTATGGGGAAATTAAATAAATAGTTATGACCATTCAGGAAACTACAGGAAGGCTTCATTTGGCAAATGTATATTGTATCTGTCCTGATGAAAGCTCTCTACAGAGGCTGAAACGTTGACATGAATGTAACATTAAACTGAAGACTTGAAAACTCCCAGGGTGCCGGTATTTTTTGGACTTTCTATAATGTGTATATATATATATAAAGAAATGAATTTATTTAAAATTGAAAGTTACAGAAAATTAAATGGGTCGAAGTCAGCATTAAACCCATTGGGGTGGAGGGTATCTAGGTAGTACAAACCATTCCATCCATGTGCATTAGTGGTCTGTGTGGCCAATATGAGGTCCATCAAGGTAAGGTTTGGAAAAACCTGGGTCCAGGCTTCCAGACAACTCCGCAAAGAGTTCCACTCAAATTTGGAATACAGTAGCAGTAGAATGAGATGCTATTGTAGGATGTCCATTATTTTAGCAAGAGGCAGAAGATAGTCCAGGCACTCAAGATTCAGCAAATGAGCAAGTTTGTTGGGAGAATGTACAGTAATGTTTCGACCTCTCAGGAGGTCTTTGTCAAGTTCCTGATAGTTTGAAACATTGTTGTACATTCTCCCAATAACCCTGCTTATTTGCTGAACCTAGTCATAGTCCTAGACACATAGTCACACACAGAGTTACAACCACATAGTCACACACCGTTACAGGCACATATTCACACACACACAGTCACAGGCACATGGTCGCACACACAGCTACTGGGGTAGATGGGGAGCAGAGGCACTGGGGTAGAGAGGAGAGCAGGGGTACTGTAGGATTAGATGGGGAGCAGGGGAACCATAGCAGTAGATGGGGAGCAGGAGCACTGGGGTAGTTGGGGCACTTTGGTAGATAGGGAGCAGGGGCACTAGCATTAGATGGAGAGCAGGGGCACTGGGGTAGATGGGAAGCAGGGGCACTGTAGCATTAGATGGGAGCAGGGGCACTGAGGTATATGGGAAGCAAGGGCACTGTAGCATTAGATGGGGGAGCAATGCACTGAGGTAGATGGGAAGCAAGGGCACTGTAGCATTAGATGGGGGAGCAATGCACTGAGGTAGATGGGAAGCAAGGGCACTGTAGCATTATATGGGGGAGCAATGCACTGAGGTAGATGAGAAGCAAGGGCACTGTAGCATTAGATGGGGGAGCAATGCACTGAGGTAGATGGGAAGTAAGGGCACTGTAGCATTAGATGGGGAGCATTGCACTGAGGTAGATGGGAAGCAAGGGCACTGTAGCAGTTGATGAGAAAGCAGGGGCACTAAAACAGTAGATGGAGCAGGGGCACTGGGATAAACAGAGAGCAGAGG